CAATCTTTTAACTGGCAGATCTGTGAAAGGGGAGGGAACGACAAATATCTGAGCTGAGTAGACTTTGAGCAGGAGGAAACTCCCCTACAGCAGAAATAGAGTCGGTGTGGGGGTTATAAAGTTGTGCTTCATTCCAGGAAGAGGAACGGTTTGAGAGTTGCAGTGTTTCTTTAGTAGTCAGTTACATTCTTCCTTTTAGATAAATACAGATTTTATAATAGAATGCAGGCTCTGAGAACCAGTGTTCCCAATGCAACATGATACTACTACTACTACTACTTCCACTAACACAAAATACATAATATACAATATAAAAACGTTTTATGACATTAATTTGGCCGATGCTCAAAAATCCAAATCCATTTCTACATTTTTACATACATGACTCTTTTTTATTGTATTTTTTTAACATAATAAAACCCATTCATCTAATGAAACAATTCTGTATTAAGTTGGACAAAAACTGATTTTTAATTAAAATGCATATATTGCATATATGCATTATATTACAATCATAAGTATGTCATGAAAATGGCAGTAAACAACACCAAATAGTCTATTTAAATAAATACAGATACTTATATATATATTATTCAACACACAGGAATTAATTAAATTACACAAATCAGTACCATTTTAGCCTTAAAATCTATATAGGTGATTTGACATTATGCTGTGCGAATCATTTAATTAATATTCATTTAATCACTTGAGCTAACGGAATTCCTTTTGATACAATCTACTCAATCGTCTTGAAAATAAACCAGTTATATTGTGTATTTCAGCGGTTAAATCGGGATTACCCTTCTGTATAGATACAAGACAACCATATCTTTAGTTATTTATTTCTATCTAGTTGTACTACAGAGAAACACGCCACATACGGGCGTGTATTTCAAACGTAAATCAAAAGATATAACATCAATCTTTTTTGTTGTTGCAAATAGTCACTCCGGAAGTCGTCTCTATGCCCGGAAGTAGAATTTGGTGGTGCAACATGTATTTTCTTCCGCCACCGCTCGGAAACATTCTTTTCCTATGAGACGAAAAACATCATGTCACATCTCAACATGTCGTGATAGCCGTTCATTTTTGCATCTAACTAAATAAAAAAAGAAATATGACGGTGATTTTAAATAAACTTCACATCCCGTATGTTTTCTTTTTTATGTTCTATCATTCTGATGTTTTGAAGTATTCGGCTGTGACCGCACAAGGTAAGAGATTGACAGCAGCTTTTTTTTTTAAGCTAGCAAAACACTGCAAACTGGCCGTTAACGCTAACTAACGGCTAACTTGTTATCATACTGCTAATTGCATTTTTATGCCAAGAAGCTAGTTCGTTGTCTCAATTATGTGTTCACGATTTAACAAGACATCAAACGAACCCTGTCCATCAAACTAGTGGATGTTATCATACATTATTAGAGATGGTGTAACGTTAATTACACTCCTAATCAAACGTTTATAGTCACATTAACGTTACACTTTTTAATATCTGGATTGTAGCATTAACTAGCTGAAAAGCTAGTGATGCTCTCTTTAGGAAATTGTATGACTTGACCTTATTGGGCAGGACCTAGCAAGAGCTAATTCGACCTTTACTTCATGTTCACCTCTTTAAAACATCACCATTACCTTCATGGACACATTTTTGTGTGTGTATACGATCGCATTAGTTTTACCTAGGTGTACCTTATTAACTGACAACTTGACCTCTTCCAGCCGGACTGAATTGCCATCTCATATCACTTCCATCTGTCACTGAACACATCAGAGATGTGGGTTGTGATTTAGAGGTCTGGAAACCTTCCTTTACTCAGTAATCTTCCTGGGACATAACTTACGGCCAACAAATTAGAGCCTGTTTTTATAAATAAGAGATCATCTTTAGAGAAACCTTGAAAAAAGGCACATCTTTAGCATCGTCATACACTTTCAAAAGGAAAACAAGAAAGATAGCTGTGAGAGAAATGTCTTCTGTACTGAATTTGATCAATTATTGCTTCTTTTTTTCAGAAAATGATGATTCCCTGGAGCTCATGCTGTCAGAGGACGCAGTGTCTGATATGGAAAACAGCCCCAAATTTGTGGAGTTAGAAGACCTGGACTCTCTGCCGAAGAGGCAGTTCAAGACGGCTGAGATGGCAGATGCTGTGATGGGAACCGAAGCCCCCATCGACCCGTCTGACATCGAGTCCCTGTTCCCCAAAAATGTGAAAGACTACCAGTCAGGCTTCTCCCCGCCTTGCGATGAGAACAGTGCCCAGTGTGATTCACCTGCTCTGGCTGCTAAAGGAGCGTCGATGGAGGACATGAGTGACGACTCATCGCAGCAGGTAACTCACTACGAGCACTACAACATGAATGGGAGTTGTTGTGTTTTCTTTTCTTTATACATATATTTCTAATTTAGTTGACAGCTGATAATTAATTAATTAATTCATTACCTGTTAATCCTGCCCTCACCCCCCCAAAAAACAAAAAAACAACTCCAAAACAGAAAGTAATAAGCTAAAATCATGCATAAGACTTCCTTAAGCTTTGTCTGGGTTGAGATTAGAGCTGAAACGATTCGTCAATCAAGTAGTTGAGCAACAGAAAATGCATCTGCTCTGCTATATTGATAATCGATGAATAATTTAGATGTTATATATTTGGTGTCATTCTGAAGCCTGATGTGGACTTCTCTCTGGATGTTTACCCCCAGATCACTCTCGACATAGTGCACGCCGACATCCTGCCGTCCGAGGAGCAGAACGCCACAGAGACCGCCAAGACGTACAAGGTGACCTGCGATAAGAGGAACATCACAGGAATTGACGATTTCACCGTGCAGGTCCTCAGCGCTTCACAGGTATTCATGCTGCCATCAGCACTGCCGACATCTGAACGCTTTTCCTGAATTTGTTCGTACGTTTAACTTAAGACAACTTAGAGCTTAACACGTGTTATCATGTTTAGTGAACCCTTAAACATGTTATTCATTTAGCTTCATTATTATAGACCAAAGACTGTAGGTGGTAAGCTAATAATGAACAGTTTTACTTCCTACCAGGCTTACGGGTTCAACGGGTGAAACCTGTTAGTAAGTGTTTGATCTGCTTTTGACAAAACACACAAACAGCTTAACAGGCAACAGACCTGAGCAGAGGTAATCGTATGTATTTGTCAAGCGCTATATTAATGCTAACAAACCAGAGCTTGCAGACTCATTTGCAAATAAAATGTGGACAAGAGAGAAAAGGGATGCATGTTCTGGGAAAGCTGCTTTAAGAATAAACGCAGTCGTATTTAAGAATCCATCCCTCAGTCTGCGTCTTTGTTCCTCTTTTCTCTCAGGACCTGATGGACTTCCTGAACGCTAACGGCACAGAGTGCTCCGTAGTGCTGTTCTTCACCGCCTGGTGCCAGTTCTCAGCCAGCCTGGCACCTCACTTCAACGCTCTGCCCCGAGTCTTTCCCAGCATGCACTTCCTGGCACTGGATGCCTCGCAGCACAGCAGGTGAATGGTCATGACTTCTGGTATTAATGTGTATCATCGTGATCTTTTCGTATCTTTTGTGGTCTGTTGTTCGGACCACATTAGCTTGTGTCTGGTAGAAATATCGCTCACAGTTTTATTAGCAAATAGTAAACTAGCTAATTTCAATAACTTTTCACAGAGTCTCAACCAAAACTGAACATTTTTATGTCTATTAAGAACATTTAAAATTATTTAAATCAATGTCAATAATGTTAGACCAGATCAGCAACTGAATATCTAAAACAGAGCCGTGTGTTGTCCGTCTCCATCTTCCACCAGCCTCTCCACGAGGTTCGGGACCGTGGCAGTGCCCAACATCCTGCTGTTCCAGGGGGCCAAACCCATGGCTCGCTTCAACCACACCGACAGAACGCTGGAGACGCTCACCTCCTTCATCGGCAACCAGACAGGTACAAACTGAGTGGAAGAAGTCCGTAATAATGCAGATTTTAGGTTTCAGCATAGACTAGACTGTGTATAAGAAGTGGGCGTAGTCACCTCAACGTCACCCATTGGTTCATGGACTGATGCTTTAGTCTTGAGGACTCGAGTTCGGCATTTTGGCCGTTCCCATCTTGGCTTTTTTGCTACTATTTGACTCTAAATGGACCATAGTTTACTAAATGAACATCATGCTGTATTGAAGAAGACTTGAAACTAGAGATTGAGACCATAAACTCATGTTTACTGAGGTAATAAATCAAGAGAGAAGTAGAGTCATTTTCTCATAGATGTCTATACAACCAGAGGAGTTGCACATTTTCTTCTGCATTGGAAAACAGTCTGGATCATAAAAACATATACAGGTTAATATCAGGGATATAGATATGTATATACAGTATCAGATCTTGAAGTATACGAGTAGTTTGTCATGTTTTTCTCCACATGCACTGTTCATGTGTTTCAGGGTTTGAAGTCGGCCTCGACCAAAACGTGACTGAGACCGACCGCCTCGGCCCCCTCCTCAGCGTCCCGGTGAAGAGCATCGACTGGCTGCTGGTCTTCTCCATCCTCTTCATCACAGGCTTCACTACGTACGCCATCCTGCGGACAGACAGCATCCGCTGGCTGATACCGGGACAGGAGCACGAGCACCAGGACTGAAAACACAGCCGGACCGCAAGACACTGGACATAAACGATTATTTGAAGAACGATTTAATTTTATTAATTAAAATTAACAGTTGCTAATTTGCTTACATTTCAAGTGTGTGATGAACGAAATAAATGTGTGTGAGCCATTGGGATTCATATTAAAGAATGTAATGATTTGTAACTGTTGTCTTTCAGGTCTTTTGTCTTGTGTGTGAGTCAGCAGGCTTGTGTTTGTTTATAGTTCTCGTCTGTGATTTTTATTAGATATTCTCTTTCAGCCATAGCCTTTAAGGGCAAAGTGCAAAAAGCTGCAACTTTACTATAAGGAGGAGGTAAGGAGCAGGATCACATAAAGTAAAAGCTGCAGTGAAGTGTCATCCACTAATGTTATTAAATAAAATTAAATGAAATTAAGAATGAATCCACCTTTTAATGCTGATTTAGATGGTATACTTCAAATATATAAACACATACTTAAAGGTTGTTTTAAGTATGATTATATGTTTTAATACGCCACTGGAAATATATTAATTTTATAAAAATGTTGTCATGATCACTGATGTTTGCAAGACCTGCATGAAACACACTTTCGAGTTGTCACATTATTGGCACAACCAGACTCCTAGTAGAAAATGAGGAATTTTAATCAGGCAGTAAACTGACCAGCCATGTCAGTGTGTGAGAGGACTGTAGGGCAGAATGAGCGGTAGTGGAGAGGGATAATGTCGGTTATGTCTGGGTTAATGTTTAGCGTGAGGACGAGCTGGTCATGGCCCTGCAACCGTGTGTTCAGGCTGAGCAGTCTGCTGCTGCCTGCGCTCTCCAAGAACCAGTCGTCTAAAATGGTGAGTGCCGCAGTGACAGCCGGACCATTATCATTTGCACGTGTATGCATCTTATTCCATGTGATTTAAACTGGAGTTATGCACGTGTGAATGTGATCTCACGAGACGAGCAAGGACTGTACACACTTGTAAGACCTCTGAAGTAGCAAGTGGCGTAAAACGCGTGAGATTGTCGTAAAAAAAAAAGACGTAAACCAAACTCCATTCGAAACGCACTGAATTAAATGTCTACATGCACACCTGTAGAAATGACACAAGTATTAAGGACATTTGTAGCATTTTTTAATAGCTTCGAAGCTATTCTTTAATTCGGCAGAAATGATTCGGTTGATTTAACTCATGAGACGATATAAGTTATGATGTGTGGTTTAAAAGGGTTAATGACAAGTCCAACACGATTTATATTCTTATTACTGTGAGTGTGAGTTTGCACATAAACACGCCAATGTCAAACTGATTTATAATTAATAATAGAGTTAGTTGTGGGTGTGTGTTTTTTGTTTTTTTAAATGTAGGCTGCAGATGGAGAATTCACGCCCAGTAATTATATTGTTAAATGTGAATATTTTCGCTGCTTGGCTGCCACCTTGTGGACGCAGCACTAATAGTACTCAGGTAACACAGAATGTGACATCTGAATATATAATGAGGCACATCTCAAACTTTGCTTAAACCGTGTTTCCACAGTGGCAGTAAAGGATGAATTAGCACGTCTGGATCAAAGGGATCTTGGGTTAGAAGAAGTCTTAAAAGCAAATACAAGAACAAATGATAATAGTTACAATTTCAGTCAGTTTTACAGATGTAAAGTTGTTAAATAGGAATTAATGTCCTTATATACATCTGAAACATAAATATGGCCGATAGAGCAAACCACAGCAGACTGAGAAAAGAGAATAAACACGGAGTAAGCGCTTGTTCTAATGTAATTACAACAGGAACAACAACAATAAGGTGTACACATTCTGAGTTTTGTGTGCATTTGTTTCCAGTCGTCAGACTCCCACTGGCTCCTCCCCGCCGACCGGGATCAGCAGGTGATGGACCTTAGGGCCACAGGGTGGGTGGAGGTGGACGACCGCGATGCCATCTTCAAAGAGCTCCACTTTAAAACCTTCAATCAGGTGTGTGTGTGTGTATGAGTGTGTTTATTTATGTTGATCTTGAGTTCAGAATATTTTTGTAAAGTGACGTTATTTTGTTCTTTGGTTTAGTTTAGGGTTCAGACTTGGATTTAAGGCCATAAGTTTAGACCATGCTGAACGTTCACTACGTAACATAGTTTATAGCAGCAGGTCATCATTTCAAATAGCTGCGTCGATGATTTAATATGATGGAATTGTATAGTGATGACATCATATATATCGAGATATCGTAACACACAGTTACATCATCTAAATAGACAACGACAAGCTCACACCAAGTCAAATTCCTCAGAAAATCTGATTATTTCACACTAAAGATTTTTTAAATACATGAGAAAATACTCAGTTGTTTTCATTTGTCAAGTATTTAACTCCCACAAGAGTATGAAATGGTTATTTAATATATATTTCTTTATTTTTGTTTATTCGTTGAGTCAACAGAAAACATGCTATATTGTCGCATATATCGTCATCGATCATGATTGAAGATTTTGGCCTCATCGCCCAGCCCAGCAGCAACGAGTTCAAACAGAACTGCACACACTGTAGTTTTCTGTGTTTAAAAATATTAGATTATTGCCATATTGACAGCACTGAAACACCTGAGTCCACCGCTGGATCAGTCGAGCTGGATCGCTAAAAGTGTAAGTTAAAAAAAATAAAAGGTTCCTCAAGTTATTGACATTAACAGTCATAACTAATCACTGGGATCACAATATTGATCGAAATCTGCGTTATTGTTTAGCTGGTTAGAGTGTGTATTGGGCTTTTATTCAATTTATCATGACAGGAAGAACACACACACACACACAGGCAGATGACATCTGCGTCAGTCTTTGTAGTTTTTTTTATTCCAGGTGGCCAATAATTCTTGTCATTTTTTGTAGTTTATAAATTATATTTTCACTCTGACAGCCTCCGCGTTGTGCTGAGGTCTTCAGGGGGCTTTGGTAAACTGGCTGGAGGTCTGTTTGATGGAGATCAGGACGCAGACCGCCAGACGCACGTCCATCTCGCTAACCATCGGAAACGCACACATTCATCTGTGTTTATGCGCTGATTGCTTGCAGGTGCAGCAGAGGGCAGGTTCCTCTCTGCTTTCTTTTGACTTTTTTTTTTTTTGTTCCTACCTGCAAAGAAAAGCACTGATGACTGTTGAAAGGTTGAAGTAGAGCTGCAACGATTAATCGTTTTATTGATTAGTTGTCAACTGTCGAATCAATCGACAGCTATTTGGACAATTGAATCAGTTTGAGTCATTTTTAAAGAAAAAAACCCCAAAAATTCTCTGATTCTAGCTTCTTAAATGTGAATATTTTCTCGTTTCTTTACTCTCCAGTGGACAAAACAAGACATTCGAGGACTAAATAATCGTTGGAGCAGCCATGATTTGAAGCTTGATATTGCTATGAGAAAAAATATTCATGTAGTTGTTATTTAAAATATTTTATATTAAAAACATTATGAAACAGAAGCTGAGATCTTTATATATTTGATCAAATAAGCTAGCAAGTGAACCTTTCAGATTAGTATAATTTACCCACAGACTGTATATAATAAGTGGACGGAGTCACAATGATGTCACTCATTGGTTTGTGGACTATGGTTTGGAAGCCTTGAGTTCGGCATTTTGGCCCGTCGTCCTCTTGGTTTTTTGCAACCAGAAGTGACACGAAAGGATGGATTTAAGTACAACTGAACGTTGAATAAGACATTTTTCAGCGACCAAAATCTTATAATAAACTTTCATGAATTGAAAACACACTGTGAAAAGGTTCAAGTTTGAAGACGAAAAACACAGACAACTCCCAGACCGGACAACGGCGTGGTAGGGATCTGTCAGGTAGCCCCGCCCTAAAGCATACCCTGCTTTATGGTCTATTTGACACTAAATGGACCATAATTTACTAAATGAAGACTTGAAACTAGCGACTGAGACCATAAACTCATGTTTACAATGTTTATTGAGGTAATAAATCAAGAGAGAAGTAGAGTCATTTTCTCATAGACTTCTATACAACCAGAGGAGTCGCCCCCTGCTGGACAGTAGAGAGAACGCAGCTTTAAGACACTTCCACATCGGTGTCACTTTTCAGAACTGGAGGTTGCCGCCTGATTTTACATTGGTGTTCCTACAGATTTGAATTTGTAGTATTCTTTTGTTGTGAAAAGTATTTTCCTGAGTACGTTCTTCGTGTTTTATCTCTTCTGTGTAATAATCTTGCCTCAAGTAGTACTGCAAACAACTTGAAGTGTTAAATTGAACTTTCCTGTTTCCCGGTTTATCAATGGCACAGGAAACGCACCACAGAAATGTATTACTTGCAATTTCAAGCGACTAACTCAACAATATTGTGACCTATGTGGTAGATCGTTTACTTCTGGGTGTAAAAGAGCCACTAAAAGTCATATATAAATGTTTTTTTGGCAGAGAATTGGGAGGCCTCAGCCCTGTATCGGGCGAAGTAAACTGCAACATCTCAAGGCCACTTAGCGGACTTCCTCTAATCCAGTCGTTAGTTGTTTTAGCCCCTAAAATAGTCTGTTTTTACACTTCCCCGTGTTTGAAGTCGGGGGGCGAGCGCTGACCTCCCCCATCTGCTCCTCCTGGCTCGAAAGCCTCTCCTCTTACCCCGACACGTCAGGCTGCATTACCCTGAGACGCGCCAGGCGGCCAGTTGGCAGCAATTGGGGTTTCGATCAGAATGATTTCTTTCACAAACAATCAAATTGGTTAAAATGTCTCATCTGGTTCACAAACCACTAACAACCCCATCATTCCTTCTGGTAGATCTGCATTTCTTTCATTACCACCCTCCTTTCCCCATCTCCGTCGTTGTCTGTCTCTCATTCCCACCCGTGCCCCATGTTATTGAGGAATGAGCTCATGTTGTTCCAATTTTACATGTTGGCAACTCTCTCCGTCTGTCTTTCTTTTTCCCTCTCTTTCTTTTTTGATTCTCTCTCCAGCCACCCCTTCAGTCCTTTCGATGCATTTTCACAAGCTCTCTAGCTCCTTTTCTTTGTCATGGCTGTTCTTAAAGGGCTTTTACCAGAGGGGAGAATGGAGATGAGGAGCGACACGCTGGCTGATTTCCATTCACCACTTATCTGCGAGTGATGGGCTTGAGGAAATCAGATCCCCGAGAGTTTATAATGACAATAACAAATCCCCTCTGTGCGAGTTGCAACACTGCCTCTTGTGGTCTCTAGGTGGCGGTAAAGGTTTATAAATCTACACAGAGCCACTCATAGCTGCAAAATAAAATTAAAGAACATGACAGCTGGATTTGCTTTCTTTTTACTTTCTTTTTCTTTGATTACTGCAAGTGGAAATGCTGCTGCAGCTCAGTAATTCATCTGCAGCATGTGGGTAAACTTTGCGTCGATAGCGGCAGTAGTCTGAGAAGTAAACGCAAGTTGTTTTTTTCTCATCAAGTCCAGTGATGTTTAATAAGGTTTGAGAGGTGAAATCCTCTGTCTGGAGTCGCTTTGGTCAGTGAGAATCCCTGCAATCATATGTGGAAACATCTGTGTGTGTCTTTAATACTGTAACTTTTGATTGGAATCATGCTCGTTTTTTATTTAAGTTGCAGTCACTGATATTGTTTACGCATCAAGCTTTATGTTGTGTTTGTTTACAGATGACCATCTGCTTTACGTTTCGGTGGATGGAGTGGAAACATTCATGTGACCCAAGTGAAGTAGCCTTATAAGATGCCGTTTGTGTAGGAGAGGTGAGCTGTGCATGCTCAACTGTTATGTTAGCTCAAGTTGACAACGATGGCATTCGGTCTTTACCCACAAATACTCAGTCATACAGTGATGGAGGGAAAAAAATCCATCAAAAGCTGCATTTTGGGTGGAAAAATGATTGTGGTTATTATCTAGAGTCTCTCCTGCAAAGTGAACAAGCTACTAAGGGAGAGAAACTTTAGAACAGGTAAATGACTTTGAGTGCTACTTAACTTAAGTGCAAAATAATCAGATTTTCTGAGAAACTAGAGTTGGTATGTGCCTGTTATTATCAATTTAGACGACATAAAAGTGTATCACTAGGGTTGCAACTAACACTTATTTTCATTGTCCTCCAATGTCTTGTTAATTTTCCAATGTCCATTCAGTTTACTGGAGTAAAGAAACCAGAAAGTATTTAAATTTAAGAAGCTGGAATCAGAATATTTTGATTGACTTTGTCAACTGAACTCGTCTAGTTGATTTAAGTGAAATAGCACAAATCGTCAGCTAAAGGGTTGAGTTTAAATGCAGGGTCGGTAATCGTCAAAAACATTTTTTTTTTTTGTTGAAATTCTCGTTACATCCCGACAGCAATCAATAAACGCATCGTCATCACTAAAGTCTTCCACAAGCTACTAGCTGAAGAGCTGTGAGTACTGTTTACGTTTATTAATATAATTTTGGGGGAGTGGCTTTGGAGAGAGGCCGACGTTTTTTGCTGGATTTAGCGACTTTTGGAGCTATTGCTGCTACGTTCAGTGGAGAAGAGTTGGCAACACTGGACTGGGTTTTTTGGTTGGATAATGTTTGAAATCCAGCGTACTGTTGCTGTGGTACTCAAGATAACCAACCCCATCTCTAAATATGCAGCAAGGGAACAATGTCTGAAATGGCACAGCCACTATTCTACCAAAAAAGGTAGAAATGAGCCAAATTAGCATTTTCACAAACAAAAATATCAAATTTTGGCCTCATGTATAGGACATTTTAAATATACATAATAAAATCAAGTATTTCCTTGCATGTCCAAGTAAAATTAGCATTCATGAAAGGTATTTGAAACAAAGGGGATGTAAGGATTAATGAAAGTCATGGTCTTATAGGATATATTGCTGTATTAACCAATATGAAGCATACATGTTTTACATTCTGAGGGTGTTTTTGCAGTATTCACTCAGTGTTATTGGGGCTGTATTGCTGCATTAATGTTCTCCTCACCTCTCAATGACTACCTCACGTAT